GATTTTCTCCAAGGTTAATTATATGCAAGTATTGCTTAATTTAAAGTTGCTTTGTCCTGTAAGTAGCTGAGTGAGGGTGTAACTAGGGTAAAAGTGGCAAAGAATTGCAGTAGTGTCAACCTTGGGGATAAAATTGGTATCATGGTCCCAGCCGTTGCCAGAGAATGAAGATTTGCTTCTTGACGTGATTGTTGATGCACGAGGTAGGAATGTAACTGAAAGTACTAGTGTCTGAAGACTTTGCAGTTTGTTTGACAAAACAGTCAGCAATCTCATTGCTGCATGACCCGGGACCCATTGGAAATCTATTCTAATGTTGTTGTCTAAGTGTCTGAGAATGTGGTGTATGAGATGGACAAGTTTTAAGTGGCTATCAGACTTTGCAATCCTGTGTAAAGCTACCGTACTGTCAGAATAAAAAATCAGAATATAAATGATATACAGTGAAAATTCAATTATCCAAAATATAATTAAAAAAACTAGAACATGTAGCATTGTACATATCACAAGGTATAATACACATTGTAGTGGAATGAAAGTAGGTCATATAAGTTACATTAAGTTAGATTACAAATACAGGTTGGCCTCCTACAACACGGTAGATATGTTCCTTGAAAATACCGCGTTGTGGGAAATCGCATTATAGGAGACACCACCTTAATACAAAAACTGGGATTCAGTTCTAAAAAGAGAAAAACTTGCCATTTGAATGGCGTTTTTTGAATTTTTCAAACCAGCCATTGCTAGCCATGAATTTAACACTGGTTTCATCAGCTGAAGACTATCCCATTTGTTTTAAATAATCAAATATTTTTAAGGCTTTGTGTTTAACTGCACTTTTATTTAAAGGCAACCGTTTCTTGTTCATATCTTCTACCCATAATATTAGTGCTTGTTCCATTTGTTTTTTTCATTATAGGTGCTCTCGGACGAGCAACATTTTTCGGAAGAATAGATGATCCGGATGTGACTGAATTCCTAATCTTTTCTTCCTATTGCTTAATCGACCGAATAGTTGACTCATTTAAATTAAAATGCCTACCAATATCAGCTATCCACTCTTGATTTTTAATTTGATCCAAAATTTCTATCTTTGTTTGAAGAGATATATTAATAAATTTCCTTTCTAACGATGGTCCTTTCTTTTCATTCAACATTGTTATGGCTAAAATTTTTTCAAGCAGCTTTGTGGACAGTAAAAATTGCAAAAAATAACTTTCCTTCACTATGTTGTTAAAAATATACACCCAATAGAAGTTTATACTGTATTTTAAACCATTTTTGCAGTCCCCACCTATTGAAAGAGTATAAATTATCGAAAATTCAGTGATATATTTGAGTGCTTATGGTAACTGATGCACATCTGTCTAGAAACCGGTCTTC